CCTGTAATGCATCTTCATTTTCAATTGAACCTTTGCTAAACTAGTAAAAAGAAAAAATAAAAACTTATAAAAGAAGTGCGAAAATTCGTTTACAATGCAATACCAATTGCAAGTCCAAGAAATTACTCCGTTACAAAACGCTTTTATGGACGTTGTTATTTTAGTGGGAACACCTCCTAATACTCAACAACAATTAGATATTAAATTACCTGCTTCTGCTACTTTAACAGACTTTTTTAAGACTATCCAAAGTGAAATGGCAGAAAAGAAATTAATTCCATCTCAATTTGCTATTCAATACAAACAATATGACTCAGTATGTCAAGTTCCTGTTTTTGCTCTATTAGAACAATTCTCAACAATAGAAATTATGACAGAAGAATTATATAATAATGCTCAAACTGATCATCATATAGAAACTCCTATGGAAATTGAACCAACACAACCTTTAATAGAAAAAACTTATAACGTTTCTTGCCATCGTTGTAAGACACGTAAAAATGAATGTTTACGCTGTCCAATTAATCCAAAACATAAATTTTGTGAAGGGTGTATTACAAAATATACTACTCTTGATAAATTCTTAAGTGATGGTTGTCCTATTTGTCAAAATAAATGTCAATGTGCTTCATGTAAAAGAAAAGAATTGAAGCGTTTAGGAATAGAAGCACCTATCCCAAAGAGATGATGATGGTTTAACTTTTCAATTTATTATTTTGTGTTTATTTGAGTGTTTTTTTGTGTTGAAAAATCCTTATTCCTTTTTACTTTGGTAATATTTTTAGGGGGTTGTCTTAATGGATTACAATGGATTTTTGAAATGAGAATAATAAATAATTTAGATCAACCAAATGTAATTTAAAGTAATAAACAATAATGCAAAAATAAATATTTATGAAATAATGAATGATATACTCATAATTATAAAGATGTTTTGATTAAGACTAACAAGAAACTGACTCAATAAAACTTTAATAAAAGAGAAAATTTAATGTTATTAAATAAATACAGAAAATGCTAAACGAAAATAAGAGAGTGTTGACTTAACCAATGGATTTTATATATTGTTTAGTGAAAAGAGACTAACACTTTTATACTTCTTATTTGTTTAATATAAGAAAAATGATTATTTTGATCACAAATATGTTGACTATTACCTCAACTTTAATTCTTATAAATGTACAATTATTTAAAGACTTATTTTTTTATATTTTATTCTATATATTTTTGTTTGAATGAATATTGTTTATGAGAAAATGAATTTGTCGTAATATTTATCGGTATTTGATTATATTCATTGAACATAAACAATTCAACTTTGTCATTAATTACAATAATCTAAGAATAGTATCATTATTTCTTGTTTTTTTTTGTATTTTGTTATATATTAATTGCTTTATTATTTTAAGGTATAGATTTGTTTAGTATCTAAAAAGTAGTGTATTTTATTATTTTTATTGTTAATGAATTATTTGTTCATTTTTGAACCTTTTTTTCATTAATTAGTTATCTATTTATTTTTCTAAAAATAGTCTAATATTTCAGAAATAGAATTGACTAATTAAATATTCATTAATATTGTTTTATTCAAATAAAGGAGACTATTTATAATAATAGGAAAGTTTTATGTTAGATTTGTTTAGATACTATCACATTGTTTTGATAATATAATAGTAAGTTTACTTACTGATTATTGTTGTGTTTTAATATTTCCAAATAAATTCAATAAAAATAAAACTTCTTAAATTATTTAATTTGAATATAATGAATGAATTTATTATTTCTTTGATTTTATCATCAACAATAATTTAATATTGTCATTTTTTATTCTTTCAAACATTAGATTCTAATTTTAATTATTTTAATTATCTTTTTTTTAGAAATTAAATATTTATAATACTTGATAACATTCTAATTATTAATAAAATAATTTCTTTGTATTAGTAAACGTCATTTCTTTTTGTTATTTGTTATTGAGAAAAAGCATTTTTAATTGTTATTTATAATACTATGTTTGGTGTTGATACTATCACATCTTTTTATAATATTTTTTTAATAAAATGTTAACTTTAATTAAATTGTAATAACAAAGATATTTTATTATAATAAATGATACATAGAATGGTTTGTTTATTTTTAAAACTCAAGAAACAGTTTCATTCTTAGTCTTTATAATAAAATATTTTCTAAAATAAACATAAAATTTCATAAAGAATGATACTCATGTAATTTTATTTATATTTACATATTTCAATATGTTGTTTGAAATGAATGTTTCATTCTCTCCGATAGTAATAAAACAAACAATTGTTAATGTTCTATGAATATATACAACTTAACATATTTCTAATCCATCTTCTATTAATTTTTGGAAATATAATAACAAAAAAAGAAAGTTATAAGAATATAAAGATTTGTCTACCATTTTTATCATAATACCAATCCTTTAAATCAATTTTGAAACAGAAATAATCTGAATGACATTGATACATATTATTGAATTTTTTAACAAAAATCATTAACAATTAAACATTATGAATTGTTTTGTTTAATATAGATTTAAATTTATTAGGTTCAATAAAAAGAACAAGAATTTATTATTACATAATCATTAGTTCTTCTTTTGATTTATTTTCATATTTTGTTATGATATCTTCTTAAAAATTCTAATAAAAATTGACTATAATGCAGTGTGTTAAATACTATTTTGTATAAGATTAAACAATAATTATCTAAGAAAAATTAAAAATTCTTGTTTCAATAAAAAAATAAATTTCTTTCTTGACAGTTATGAGTTGTTGCAAGTTTATTCATTTAGAACCTTCTCAATAAGATAATGACATCAAAGATACCAATTATTCATGAGAGATAGTATACTGTATGAAAGTGATAAGTAATAAGACTAACAAAGAATCTATAAAATCATAATAGATGCTTGTTAGAGTTGCTTCACGTATAGAATCAGAAGATAGAGCAAAAGCCAGTAAATTTATAAAAGTGAATCAAGAATTACGGAGTCAATTTGGATTAAGTGAAAATGAAGATGTAGTACAAAATTATAAAGGTGTTTATAAATCAGGAAATACTAATGTAAAAGGAACATTATTTTTAACACAAAATTACTTTTGTTTTAGATCTTCTTCTGGGAAAAAAATATTTATTAAAATTCAAATATCAGATTTAAAAGATATGAATAATCAAATAATGTTATTAGATGCCCAAGGTAGAAGATATGAGTTTTATCCAACGTTTAATAAAGAAGAATGTTATAATCTAATGCATTATCTTTTTCAATTTCCATTTGCATTACTTGATTTAAATATATATAAACAACATACTGAAATATCATCTGAGCATTTAAACCAAGAAACAAAGTTTGATATTCAAACTGCACAAGAGGCATTAGATACTGCAGAAGATATGAGAAAAATAAAATTAGATTCTTATCAAATGTTAGAGTGTCAACAAAGGAAAATTGCAATGATTGATCAATTACTTAATCAAACGGATGTTTATCTTGGTGAAATAGAAGAAAGTATTAAAGCAACAACATCTTTAGTTTATGAATTAAAATTAAGATATACTAAAAAAAAGGTAAAACCTGCACCACTACAAGAAACACCAATTCTTCAACAACAAATAATTCAAAATCCACCTCAAAAAGTTGAAATTAATATTATATGGAAATTAGAAGGAGATAATTTAATTCCTGCTATAATGACAATATATAATGATAAAGTTGTTTTAGAAGAAACTAGTAATGAAAAAAAGAAACTTTTAACCAGAGAATTTGCTATTGTTGATATGATTGGATTATTTATGAGATCAAGACCATTACATATGAATATTGCATTAAATCATAATTCAAAGGAAAAAGGAAGAGTTAGAATTGTTAGTGTTTCATTACAATTTATTTGTAATGAACTGTATATAAGATATTTAAAATTAACTAATGAACAATTAGGTGTTATTTTTGAACCTAATTCTCGTGTATTTGATTATGGAGATACATTAATTACCAAAACATTTATGAATTGTGGTCCTATCAAAGGACAAATTAAATTTGAACAAGATGAAGACTTTGCATTAAATCTACTTACTGGTAAAGACCGTGAAGACTATCTTGTCTTAAAGAAAACTAATCAAAAAACTTTAAATATTCTTGATGAATGTGATAAATTAGGTCAAAAGACAATTCAAATGGCTGAAGATTCTGCTAATGCTATTGAATCAGTTAGTTTAAGAATGAAAGCACAAAAAGAATTAATGAATTCATATAAACAAAAGAGTGATCAAATACTTAAATAGAAGAGAAATATACTTTTATAAGTTCAGTTCAATTATTTTTATTATTTTCACATAACATTTTATAAATAGAAAAGAATAAACAAAAATAGAAAAATAATTTTTTTTTAAAAAGAAAAAATAAATATTTAAGTTCTTCCAATGGACAATAACATGTCTCGTTCAACTCCTCCTAAAGCAAGTCCTAGATTCTCTGATGATCTAGAAGATGAATATACTGAAGAAGATGAATATAGTAGTTCTTCTGATTATACTTCATCAACAGATGATGATGAAAAAGAAATGGAAACATCAGAACTTCTTGAGTCATGGAGTGAAGCAATGAAAAAACTAAAATTTATGGTTGAACTATACTCTAAAGAAAAAGAAGAAAACACTAAATTAACAGAACATATTAATAAAATGGCTACTGCTATTAATGAAATGAAGGTAGAAATTGCTTCATTAGCACAAAGTCAAACAAAAGCAATAAATGATTTAATGATGGAAAAAAAAAGCCATGCAGCAACATTAAAAAAATTAGAAATGTGTGAAACACATGAAAATGAAAAACCTTTTAATGGAACATTAAGATGTAATTGTGAAATCGTAATTTCTAATGGAGAAGTTGAAAATATTATCATTGTTAAAGATGATGAAAAAAGATGGAAAGAAATAGAAATTCAAAAAGAATATCTAATGAAAAGAGTTGTTGAATTAACACAACAAAATGCTCTTATTAATGAAGAATATGAAGACCTTAAAATTAATTTTGATATGAAAAAAAATAATATGGAAAATGAACTTAATAACATTCAACAATCCGCTAGAGAAAGAGAAGTTAGTTTAGTTAATAATCAAGAAATGTATAAGTCTGTTGCTCTTCAATTTTTAACTCGTGAACTCCCTTTATTTAAAAAAAATATTGAATCTATTGATATTATTCAAAAAGATATCAAATTAAAAACAGAATTTGCATCATTTATTATGAATAGATATGGTATTAATGTAACTGATGTCTTAAATGGTGAAAAAAGTATTACTAAAATTCAAATGATTCCTCTTAAATTCCGTAAACAAAAAAGTTCTGTTACTCGTCAAAAAACAATTAAATTAGCTCGAATGAATACTTCATTATCAAGAAATGGAACAATTGATTTATCTTCAATTGCTGATGAAGATATGATTGATGATAATAATGTTACTCCTGTTAAAGTTTCACAAGTTTCAAAATTAAATGTTACGAATAATTGTACTAATGAAGAACAACAACCTTCTATAATTGCTCCAATTAAACCTCAAAAAGATAAAACTTCTATATTAAAGAGTCCTTCATTAGCACGAACAAACACTGGAATTCTTCCAAAAGAAACAACAAAAAAATTAAGAGCAAGTTGTTCACCAAAAGAAAAGGCTGAACTTAAATCAATTCAAAAATTATTGACTCGTTCAACAATTTCATTAGAGACAGCCACAAATGAATAAAATTTTATATTTAAATTTTCTTTTAAGTGTTTATTCATGTAATTCTATACTTTTATTTTTTTAATTATATATGGAATCATATTTAAACCATTAAATGAAAAATACTAAACATTATTTTAATCAACTTGTTTCTACTCGATATTCTTTAACATAAAATAAATAAGAGGTATGATTTATAGCTTTTTAAAAAATAAAAATTATTAATACAATTCTTTTTTTTTATTAACTTTTAACCTTAGTTCATTTTGTATTTTTGAAAATCTGTAAATAAAATAAAAAATCTGTTTTACTCAATAACACAATTATTTACTTATTTAATTATTTTTGTGTTATTAATAGTTATGATTCAAACTTGGAAATTCATTTCAGTTAAACTCAACATGTTCCCACAAATGAAAAGTCCTACACCAGATAAACCAAGAGGAAGAATAGAGTGTAGGTGTTATGGAACTGTTCATAAAGCAATTGGAAATTGTCTTTCTTGTGGAAGAATTCATTGTTCTGAAGAAGGACCAGGTAAATGTTTATATTGTGGCGAGAGATTAGAAATTATAAGAAAGAATGAGGGTTATGATGAAGCACAAGAACGTATGGATATGTTATTATATTTTCAAGAAACACAGGCTCAAAGAACAATAGTAAGAGATATGTCAGGTGAAGATCCATTAAAATTGGATTATTGGATAAAAGGAAAAAAAAAGAGTACAAAGAAAGAATTAAAGAAAACTAATAAGAGAATAAATCACAGAGTTCAATACGAAGATGTAGATCCAAACCAATTTGATTTTGTTCAAGAAGATGATATTGGAACATCAGAAATGTATCAACTAAATGAAAAGCCTAAAGTTGATTTAAGAGTTGAAGATACTGATTATGATGATGATTAAACATATTGAAAAAAAAGTATAAAGAAAAACCGAGAGCATTATAATTTAAAGTTGTTATAATTTATAAATCTATTTTTCTTTTCCAAAGAGAGCTAAGCCAAGAGGAAGAAGCAATGCACCCCAATAGAAAGCTGATGTAATGTAATGAGTTATTAAATTATCTTCTTGAGAAAGAGGAGTATTGTCTATTTGTTCTGAAAAATTTTCTAATTCAATAGGAGGTGTAATCAAACTTTCTATTATTGCTTCTGTATCAGGAACAAAAAGCATTGGCTTTTGTTGAACAATACCAATAACTGAATCGCATCGAGAACACCTCATTTCAAGAACTGGTAATGCAACACGTAAAGACTCTTTAAATATTATATTTTCACATTTAGAAAATTGTAGTGGTGAGTTTAATACTAAATCTTCTTTTCTGAAAAGTAAGTTGTGACATTGTTTGCAATGAAATGTCATTTTTTTTCTTTTTAAGTTCTTACAAAAATAAATCAATACTCTTATAAAAATACTTCAACCTTCTTTTAAATTTTAATCCAACTTGTTTTTATTATTTTAATCAATTCATTTGTAGTTTTATTAATTCTTCAACAACTAAATCACCTCTCCTTCTAGCTTTATTGGAATATATCTCAATTGAAGATTCAAACATACTTAAGTTTATTAGTTCAACTTACAAATTTATTTCTTTGACTTAATAAAAACAAAGAATGACCCAACTCATTGACATGTTTAATTTAGTACGTTTTTGGTTTCTTTATACTTAAATATGTTAGTTAAAATATTTGAATTGAGACTTATTTAGAATTGTATTATTCATTTACCAAATTGTTCCAAAACATTATAACTGTTAATACATTAACTTCAATTACATTTATATTTCATATCAACACAAATCATTTAAATATAACTTCTTTTATTGGATTTAATTTCAAATTCAGTTAATACATTCTTCCTTTTTTCTTTTTATATATTTGTTAAGTTATAACGATCAAATAAAAACTTCTTTAATGTTAATTTAGAAGAAATTCTCTTGGTCTAAACTTCATTTAGTTTATCACTTATAACTATAAAAGCAAAATTGTATAAAAAGTCATATTGACAAACATCACATGATAATGTTTTAGAATGTTGTACTTGTTGAACAGAAATAAAGATAAATTATTTGTTTAATACATTTAATATTCCTTTTAGAGTGTCTTACTCCATATTCTCTATATTTATTTTCTTCATTTAAATTATTGAAATAATTATAGATTCTATAATAACAACTCTAATATTACCACCTTATGTTCATAATCATAATTGGAATAAACTAGATATAATGTAACTTTCTTTTGTATAATAGTTTAAGTGTCTTTGACAGAATTCTAAAAACAGGTTATAAAAAGAAATTTATCTTTCAATTCTTTTAAAAATTCAACTTCTTATTATTATTCTATTGGTTTTTCTTTTCAATCCATTATTATATCTTCTAATTGATTTAAAATAAATACACCATTATTTATTTAAAAAAAAAAACAAATTCCTGTTATCAAGAAAAAAGACATAAAACCAAACATAAAATTTTTAAATAATTTCAATATCTTTCATTCATTCTTCTATTTCTAAAATCTAGTTTATTACTTGTTCAATTCTTTGTATTAAAAATAATTATAACACATATTAAAACTTGAAAAACTTTTTTATTTGAATAATTATTTTCTTGTTGAAGTTCTTTTATTGTCTTTAAAAAAAATGAATAATTTATGTATTTTATAATAATTTTATTCAATAATCTATTGTAATTGTTATCATCAAAAATTAATCATCAGAATCATCATCGTCATAAGAATCTCGTTCTCGAGAAAACATTCCACCACTGAACTTTGGATGCCTTTTTTCTTTTGGGTCTGACTTCATTGTTGTCTCAACGGCACCAACACGAGATAATGCCCATTCAAGGTCGTCACAAGTCATGTTATTTCCACCAAACTCAGCCAAACCAATAAACTGTTTAACATGGTTTGTGTTTCTATAAACAATTAAAGTAGGAAGAAGTTTATCTGGATAATCAGGAATTGCCAAATGGCTTAAAATCTTAACAAATTTTGTACTTCTTTTCTTACGAGCTAATTCATTCAACCTAGCACTCAAAATATCACATCCTTCAATCCCATTTTTATATAACAAAACTACAACATAACATTCTTTTGATGCTTCAGTAACTTCTTGTTTATATTCACCAGCAGTAAGTTCAACTACTTCTTTATACTTATTTTTCTCCGCAATAGCTCTCATTTCTGCTAATCTTTTTTCTTTAATTCTTTGAAGTTCTTCATCACTATCATCATCTTCTAATAATTCATCAATCTCTTGTAATGATTTGTCTTCTTTGGCATTATGTTCGACAACAGGTGCCTCTTTATACAATATATTTCCTTCATCATAAAGTTTTTGTTCTTCTGGACTTAGTGCTGCTTTATTAACTTTTGCAATAGCGTCTTGCCACTCTGTAGTTTCTCTTTTTCTTTCAATTCCATTAACAAGTTGTTTTTCTACTGATGATGTGTTCATTCTAAATTAACAGTTCACCTCTTTCAGTTTTTAATAAATACATTTTTACTATTCTTTTTATTATTTTTGTTAGAATGTTTTTCCTAAAAATATATGTTAGAACTTCATTAATTATTCTAAGTTTACATTTATTTTAAATCTTCTTAAATTGAAATAAAACAATTATTAAATTTATACATTTTAAACGTATACTCACTTTTTATTTATAGATATCCTCTTCCAATCAAAATAACTTCTGGTAA